CTCCCAGTGCCTCCATATCGGTTTCGGTCCTCACTGGCCTCCACTGCCTCATCAGCATCCCCTCTTCTAAGTAGAAATGCGTAGCAGTCTCGGGTCCAGCGCGACCTCCCTCGGCCTCTAGTATCATCTCGGGAACCTCCTCTCGCTGCAGCTCGCCCAGTCGAGCGCAATCCAACTCGAGAGGACTGGTGAGTTATCTGCACTCCGTCATCTGGGTTCCCACTACATTCCATCTGTCCTCTGGTTTCCTCAAAGAGTTGATCGATTCCTAGGCCGTCAGACACATCCTCTCCAGCCTGACCAGATCCACTTGTTTCACCTTTGACACTCAGTCTCGGGAATACCGCACACACAGAGAACGCTCCCTCAGCGATCTCCCTCGCGTTTCCCCAGGTGTCCGACGCACTGCCTCCCTTTCTATAGTGTTCCAAACACTCCTCGCCCTTAACAAAGTTTGGGAGTACACATCCCCCACATGAGTCATTTCCCAGAATGACCTGGGCCTTCATCTTAGGCATCGAGGCGCAGACCCCTATCACCAGGGTCTTGCAGCCATAGTCAGAGTCCAAAAATCACCTCATGAAGGGGCATTCTCACTGGGCCACCCACAGTGGTCACCATGGCCACCCCCACACTGGTGTCCTCATAACCCTCAGGGAATAGGGTCTCACTCACCAGGGTAAAGTCTGCTCCAGTATCTCTCAACATCTTCACTGGAATGGGGTCGGCCCCCTTTATCCCCATGGTACCCTCACAAATGAAAGGATGGATCTTTTCCTCCCTTTATAGTGGAGATCCGCTCAAAACATTCTTGGCTCCTTGGTCGTCCATTCTGACCAGTGCCACATTTCCGCATTGCCTGGGGCGACCACACTCACGTGCAAAGTGTCCGCGCCCGCCACAATTAAAACATCTGACTCTCCTGGGAGGTGACTCTCCTCCTGTCATTCGGGCAATGCTCCCGGAAACCGCCATCCCCTGAGTTCTCGTCGCACCCCCGGTCATCATCTCCCTGGCAGCGTTCCTCGCTCCAGCACCAGTCCCGGCGTTCCCCCCTTGGGGTCTCCTCACCTGTTTCCCTGAACTCCTGGTCCAGTTTACCTTCCTGGGTAAACTACTCTTGGGAGAGTCTCCGCCCGTCCTGACTCGTTCAGGAGGGACGTTCAATTTGGGACGTTCCTCCCCAAACCTTGGGTAAGGCAAGTGCCTGGGCGGTCCCTCCTTTCCGAGATGTAGTGCCTCTTCTAGCAGGTCGGCTCTGTCTGCAGCAGCCTTAAGTTCTCTAATACCTGCCTCCTTGATCCTGACCCTTAACTCTGGATAGAGCATCGACATGATTCTTTCCATCACCATCAACTGCTTCAGCTCCTCCATCGTCATCACCTCTTCGGCCTTCAGCCACCGCAGGAACTTGCGCTCCATGTCCCGAGCAGTCTCAGCATATGACCTTCCGGAAGCTCTTGTGCACTCACGGATGCGTTTTCTGTAAACCTCCGGGGTTAGTCGATATGAGTGGAGCACAGTTTACAAGTTCTTGATCGTGTCGTAAACGGCGCACTCCTCAAGGTCCAACATGTTATAAGCTTCCCTGGCCTCGCCAGTCAACCTACTCTGCACTAACGCAGCCCAATCCTCTTCCGGCCATTCCTTCAATGTCGCTATCCTCTCAAAATGGTCGAAGAAAGCTTCGTCCTCTACAGGGTCAAACGTGGGTAGGTCGCGTTCCTGGACCTTGGGGTCATCCCACTGGGAAAACACCGAGGGTAGCCCGCACTCCACCCGACGCATCTCTACTTCTTTCTTCGCTTTTATTTCCTCCCGTCGCAGTTGTCTTTCTCCTTCCTCTCATTGCAGGCAATGGGCTTCGCGCTCCTCACGCTTCAGCTGAGCCTCGCGCTCCTCCCGCTTCAGCTGAGCTTCGCGCTCCTCCCGCTTCAGCTGAGCTTCGCGCTCCTCCCACTTCAGCTAGGCCTCGCGCTCACGCTCCTCTCGCTTCAGCTGAGCTTCGCGATCCTCCTGCTTCAGCTGGGCTTCGCGCTCACACTCCTCTCGCTCCAGCTAAGCTTCGCGCTCCTTACGCTTCAGCTGAGCTTCAAGCTGCATTTTCATTATCTCCAGCTTTATGCTTCTGCTACCACCGCTGGATCCCCTACTGCTACCTTCATCGCTCCGGTTCCCACCAACACTGGCAGGTACTTGGGGCGGTTCTACCTTGGAAGCCTCCTCTCGGGCTTTCAGCTGAGCCATGATCTCAATCTGATGCTCCGCTACCCTGGAAGACCTCAACCTCAACCCAAAATGGTCCGCCACTAGCTGCAGCTGAGCCTTGATGCATTCTTCCAGCACCTGCTCATCCCTCAACTCAATACAATTTTTCGCTCTGTCATCCTCCATCTCTAGGCTATTGAGTAACTGTATACAGGGAATACACTAGCGAGCAGTGTAAACCAAGACCAATATCGACCTTAATATACTTGCCCTGCACTTGCAATCCTTTGCCCACTGTTGTCCGATAATCCTGGCGAGGTCGCCACTGTCAAGGTTCACCCCCTTCCTACCTGTGGTTGGGGCTGCTCCCACGGGTCGTAGCCCCTCAGTTCCTGGCGCCACTGTCCGCCCCGGGGCTCCCCCAGTCGGCCAAGGGCTGGCCTTGTACACCCCTAGCGAGTGGGGAGGTTCAAGCCTCCTATAGCTCACCTGAACCTGCCCGTCCTGACACTGGGAGGTTCTATCTTTAATATCTGGTCTGCTCAGGTCGCCAGCTGCGTGTTTATACTCGTGTCCCAGCACAACCCGTTCTCGCAAATTTAATAAGTCAATATTGACTTATTAGTTGCATGCATAGGTGACATACTAAACATAATAGTTTCCCTTGAAAAGCTTCATAGAAAACACCGACCTTACCTAACCTACTTAGTATGTTAAAATAAGCATCTTATAGCTTCGTAATTACAATTGTTACTTAACCAATTATAGGTATAGGTTAGGTAATAATTGTAATTATGAAGCAATAAGATGCTTATCTTAACATACTAAGTAGGTTAGGTAAGGTTGGTGTTTTCTATGAAGCTTTTCAAGGGAAACTATTATGTTAAGTATGTCACCTATGCACATATTTAATAAGTCAATATTGACTTATTAAATTTGCGAGAACGGGTTGCCCAGCAACACGTCAGTGGTTTTATTGGTTATCTTAATTAAGGATGCAGTGTCTCGTGCAGTACTATGTGTCATTAACGGTCTCACTTATATATATATAACCCTAGAGAATGGAGGTTCACTTAAACTCATTAGTTAGTTTAAAGTTTACTGAAGAAAAGGTATATACATACATATAAATGGCATAAAGAAATGTCTATAAGTGGATATCGTCCGCTGTCGGCAAGACTCCTCATGACACGTCTCTGGCAACACGGTCAGCTGACCGGATCCAACCGTCAGACGGCGGGACACACCTCGCGCCTCTGGCAACACGATCAGCTGATGGCTCCAACTGTCAAAACCAGCCGGGGCTCTCCCTGCTTCTGGCAACGCGATCAGCTGGGTTTTACAAAGTTCGTTGCTGACTCCTTGCAAACCAACCACTACCTCCAGGATCACTAACATCACCGTATCAACACATTAATCCTCACATGCACCAACAAGCCTATATGAGCTATTGGCTCCTAGCCTAACACTCTGTCACTTAGACAATAAAATGATAAGTAGAAATGTTCACAATATATAAAATACCTTAGCTCGCCTAGATCAAAGGGTTAAAGGGAGGGACAATTATCTACCTTACTTCATTCCAACCACGAAGCCGACTCGTCCTCTGTTGAGGGATGTTGAGGTTCCTAGTCCTGGCTTCTGGTCCCCTGACGATCAGTTTCCGCACCAACAGGTTCCTCCATCGTCCTCATGGTATTGCGTCCTCGCCGTGCTCACTCCCGAAAGGTACTACCTTCCTCTTCCTCTTCTCTGGGGTACTGGAGACAGGTACCTCCGTCGTCCTCCCCCCACTCTCATTAGCACTGTCGGCACCTCGCAGTCCAGCACAGCTTCCCCTCACCTCACTGCCAGTAGATTTGGCCCGGCCATAGCTTCTCGGTTGATATGTGTAACTCGTTCCGCTGGGCGTCCCAGACGTAACCAGCCCCAACGTTCGTCTGCTGCAGACTCTTGATAGAGCTCTTGGCTTGCTTCTGTGCCCGATAGAGCTCTTGGAGTGCCCGTCCTTGCTTCTAGGCACTCCACGAAAGTTGGATGGCCTCCCAGACTGTCTGCAGTATCGAAGCGAAGCTTAAATCTACTGGTAAGGGCTCCCTAGATCCGGAGCTCACTCGAGCTCGTCCTCACGCTAGGGTGGCTCATGACGTACTCTCTCCCGCCCAAGCGCCAGCCGACCTGAGAGCCCTCGCCTCGTAACGTCACACCGCCCGAGGGCTCTCGTCATTGGTCACTTCCGGCACGTAACCTCACCTGGCCAATCAGGTGCCGGGAGGCGTCACGACGTCTTAACGGGAAACAGGATAGCTCGGCGCCGTCTTGTGCCCCAATACGCGCAAGCCCCTTGCATTATCAAACTTTACTGGCCATTTTACAGCCAGCTTAATCACGCTCCACATTTTTCCACACATGAAAATGTTCCCTGAACATCAGAGAATACTTAGGTTACTGAGATATGACTCTTTTAAGCTGGGAAGGAAGAAATATAGGGGTGGGACACTCGTCACAATATGTATATAAAACTGTATTCCACACTACCGTGGATATAACACGTTGTAACGTATATTTATGTGTAGTTATTTGGATGGTTAGAGTTAATTGGTTTTGATATTTATTATAATCTTGGTTACAGCAGTCAATGTACTCACCTATTTGTGTTTGTGGAGAATGAGCTCTGGCTCTTTGGTCCCGCCTCTCAACCGTGTGTTGGGAATGTAGTGAAGTGTTGCAGTAGTTCAGATGAAGCCTGGGGCCGGGCAGAGAGCTGAACGCCAATGTTCTTATATTTTCAGAAAACACTTCATACTGGGTGAACCTGACTCGCAAGCCAGGCGGCCAGCCCACTTGGGACGCGGGAGGAGCGGCCATACCTTACAACCAGACGGACCTGGACCCCGCAAGCCTCGTGGACCAGATCTACCCGTCGTGGTCCTCATACTTCTACTTGACGCACAACGGTTCTCACTACACCTTCACTGGGACCTTCTCCCCTTTCGTCCTCTACTCTACCATCTGCCAGGACAACCTGCTCAACCTTGTGCTGTGAAAGTGTGACAACCTTGTGCTGTGAGAGTGTGGCACCATTGTGCTGTGAGTGTGGCAGCCTTGTGCTGTGAAAGTGTGACAACCTTGTGCTGTGAGAGTGTGGCAACATTGTGCTGTGAGAGTGTGGCAGCCTTGTGCTGTGAGAGTGTGGCAGCCTTGTGTTGTGAGAGTGTGGCAGCCTTGTGTTGTGAGAGTGTGGCAGCCTTGTGTTGTGAGAGTGTGGCAGCCTTGTGTTGTGAGAGTGTGGCAGCCTTGTGCTGTGAGAGTGTGGCAGCCTTGTGCTGTGAGAGTGTGGCAGCCTTGTGCTGTGAGAGTGTGGCAGCCTTGTGCTGTGAGAGTGTGGAAGCCTTGTGCTGTGAGAGTGTGGCAGCCTTGTGCTGTGAGAGTGTGGCAGCCTTGTGCTGTGAGAGTGTGGCAGCCTTGTGCTGTGAGAGTGTGGCAGCCTTGTGCTGTGAGAGTGTGGCAGCCTTGTGCTGTGAGAGTGTGGCAGCCTTGTGTTGTGTGTGTGGGGCAGCCTTGTGTTGTGAGAGTGTGGCAGCCTTGTGTTGTGAGTGTGTGGCAGCCTTGTGTTGTGAGTGTGTGGCAGCCTTGTGCTGTGAGAGTGTGGCAGCCTTGTGTTGTGTGTGTGTGGCAGCCTTGTGTTGTGTGTGTGTGGCAGCCTTGTGTTGTGTGTGTGTGGCAGCCTTGTGTTGTGTGTGTGTGGCAGCCTTGTGTTGTGTGTGTGTGGCAGCCTTGTGTTGTGTGTGTGTGGCAGCCTTGTGTTGTGTGTGTGTGGCAGCCTTGTGTTGTGTGTGTGTGGCAGCCTTGTGTTGTGTGTGTGTGGCAGCCTTGTGTTGTGTGTGTGTGGCAGCCTTGTGTTGTGAGTGGCAGCCTTGTGCTGTGAGAGTGTGGCAGCCTTGTGTTGTGAGAGTGTGGCAGCCTTGTGCTGTGAGAGTGTGGCAGCCTTGTGCTGTGAGAGTGTGGCAGCCTTGTGTTGTGAGTGTGTGGCAGCCTTGTGCTGTGAGAGTGTGGCAGCCTTGTGCTGTGAGAGTGTGGCAGCCTTGTGCTGTGAGAGTGTGGCAGCCTTGTGCTGTGAGAGTGTGGCAGCCTTGTGCTGTGAGAGTGTGGCAGCCTTGTGTTGTGTGTGTGGGGCAGCCTTGTGTTGTGAGAGTGTGGCAGCCTTGTGTTGTGAGAGTGTGGCAGCCTTGTGTTGTGAGAGTGTGGCAGCCTTGTGTTGTGAGTGTGTGGCAGCCTTGTGTTGTGAGTGGCAGCCTTGTGTTGTGAGAGTGTGGCAGCCTTGTGCTGTGAGAGTGTGGCAGCCTTGTGTTGTGAGTGGCAGCCTTGTGTTGTGAGTGGCAGCCTTGTGTTGTGAGAGTGTGGCAGCCTTGTGTTGTGAGAGTGTGGCAGCCTTGTGTTGTGAGAGTGTGGCAGCCTTGTGTTGTGAGAGTGTGGCAGCCTTGTGTTGTGAGAGTGTGGCAGCCTTGTGTTGTGAGAGTGTGGCAGCCTTGTGTTGTGAGAGTGTGGCAGCCTTGTGTTGTGAGAGTGTGGCAGCCTTGTGCTGTGAGAGTGTGGCAGCCTTGTGTTGTGAGAGTGTGGCAGCCTTGTGCTGTGAGAGTGTGGCAGCCTTGTGCTGTGAGAGTGTGGCAGCCTTGTGCTGTGAGAGTGTGGCAGCCTTGTGTTGTGTGTGTGGGGCAGCCTTGTGAGAGTGTGGCAGCCTTGTGTTGTGAGTGGCAGCCTTGTGTTGTGAGAGTGTGGCAGCCTTGTGCTGTGAGAGTGTGGCAGCCTTGTGTTGTGTGTGTGTGGCAGCCTTGTGTTGTGAGTGGCAGCCTTGTGTTGTGAGTGGCAGCCTTGTGTTGTGAGAGTGTGGCAGCCTTGTGTTGTGTGTGTGGCAGCCTTGTGTTGTGAGAGTGTGGCAGCCTTGTGTTGTGAGAGTGTGGCAGCCTTGTGTTGTGAGAGTGTGGCAGCCTTGTGTTGTGAGAGTGTGGCAGCCTTGTGTTGTGAGAGTGTGGCAGCCTTGTGTTGTGAGAGTGTGGCAGCCTTGTGTTGTGTGAGTGTGGCAGCCTTGTGTTGTGTGTGTGGCAGCCTTGTGTTGTGTGTGTGGCAGCCTTGTGTTGTGAGAGTGTGGCAGCCTTGTGTTGTGAGAGTGTGGCAGCCTTGTGTTGTGAGAGTGTGGCAGCCTTGTGCTGTGAGAGTGAGAGTGTGGCAGCCTTGTGCTGTGAGAGTGTGGCAGCCTTGTGCTGTGAGAGTGTGGCAGCCTTGTGCTGTGAGAGTGTGGCAGCCTTGTGCTGTGAGAGTGTGGCAGCCTTGTGTTGTGAGAGTGTGGCAGCCTTGTGTTGTGGGAGAGTGTGGCAGCCTTGTGTTGTGAGAGTGTGTGGCAGCCTTGTGTTGTGAGCCTTGTGTTGTGTGTGTGGCAGCCTTGTGTTGTGTGTGTGGCAGCCTTGTGTTGTGAGAGTGTGGCAGCCTTGTGTTGTGAGAGTGTGGCAGCCTTGTGTTGTGAGAGTGTGGCAGCCTTGTGTTGTGAGAGTGTGGCAGCCTTGTGTTGTGAGAGTGTGGCAGCCTTGTGCTGTGAGAGTGTGGCAGCCTTGTGTTGTGAGAGTGTGGCAGCCTTGTGTTGTGAGAGTGTGGCAGCCTGTGAGAGTGTGGCAGCCTTGTGTTGTGAGTGTGGCAGCCTTGTGTTGTGTGAGTGTGGCAGCCTTGTGTTGTGAGAGTGTGGCAGCCTTGTGCTGTGAGAGTGTGGCAGCCTTGTGCTGTGAGAGTGTGGCAGCCTTGTGTTGTGAGAGTGTGGCAGCCTTGTGTTGTGAGAGTGTGGCAGCCTTGTGTTGTGAGAGTGTGGCAGCCTTGTGTTGTGAGAGTGTGGCAGCCTTGTGTTGTGAGAGTGTGGCAGCCTTGTGCTGTGAGAGTGTGGCAGCCTTGTGTTGTGTGTGTGTGTGGCAGCCTTGTGTTGTGAGAGTGTGGCAGCCTTGTGTTGTGAGAGTGTGGCAGCCTTGTGTTGTGAGAGTGTGGCAGCCTTGTGTTGTGAGAGTGTGGCAGCCTTGTGTTGTGAGAGTGTGGCAGCCTTGTGTTGTGAGAGTGTGGCAGCCTTGTGTTGTGAGAGTGTGGCAGCCTTGTGTTGTGAGAGTGTGGCAGCCTTGTGCTGTGTGAGAGTGTGGCAGCCTTGTGCTGTGTGAGAGTGTGGCAGCCTTGTGCTGTGAGAGTGTGGCAGCCTTGTGTTGTGAGAGCCTGTGGTGAGTGTGTGGCAGCCTTGTGTTGTGAGAGTGTGGCAGCCTTGTGTGTGTGTGGCAGAGTGTGGCAGCCTTGTGTTGTGAGAGTGTGGCAGCCTTGTGTTGTGAGAGTGTGGCAGCCTTGTGTTGTGAGAGTGTGGCAGCCTTGTGTTGTGAGAGTGTGGCAGCCTTGTGTTGTGAGAGTGTGGCAGCCTTGTGTTGTGAGAGTGTGGCAGCCTTGTGTTGTGAGAGTGTGGCAGCCTTGTGTTGTGAGAGTGTGGCAGCCTTGTGTTGTGAGAGTGTGGCAGCCTTGTGTTGTGAGAGTGTGGCAGCCTTGTGTTGTGAGAGTGTGGCAGCCTTGTGTTGTGAGAGTGTGGCAGCCTTGTGTTGTGAGAGTGTGGCAGCCTTGTGTTGTGAGAGTGTGGCAGCCTTGTGTTGTGAGAGTGTGGCAGCCTTGTGTTGTGAGAGTGTGGCAGCCTTGTGTTGTGAGAGTGTGGCAGCCTTGTGTTGTGAGAGTGTGGCAGCCTTGTGTTGTGAGCCTTGTGTTGTGAGTGTGGCAGCCTTGTGTTGTGAGAGTGTGGCAGCCTTGTGTTGTGAGAGTGTGGCAGCCTTGTGTTGTGAGAGTGTGGCAGCCTTGTGTTGTGAGAGTGTGGCAGCCTTGTGTTGTGAGAGTGTGGCAGCCTTGTGCTGTGAGAGTGTGGCAGCCTTGTGTTGTGAGAGTGTGGCAGCCTTGTGTTGTGAGAGTGTGGCAGCCTTGTGGTGAGAGTGTGGCAGCCTTGTGTTGTGAGAGTGTGGCAGCCTTGTGCTGTGAGAGTGTGGCAGCCTTGTGCTGTGTGAGAGTGTGGCAGCCTTGTGCTGTGAGAGTGGCAGCCTTCTGCTGTGCAGCCTTGTGTGAGAGTGTGAGAGTGTGGCAGCCTTGTGCTGTGAGAGTGTGGCAGCCTTGTGCTGTGAGAGTGTGGCAGCCTTGTGCTGTGAGAGTGCGGCAGCCTTGTGCTGTGAGAGTGCGGCAGCCTTGTGCTGTGAGAGTGTGGCAGCCTTGTGCTGTGAGAGTGTGGCAGCCTTGTGCTGTGAGAGTGTGGCAGCCTTGTGCTGTGAGAGTGTGGCAGCCTTGTGCTGTGAGAGTGTGGCAGCCTTGTGTTGTGAGTGTGGCAGCCTTGTGCTGTGAGAGTGTGGCAGCCTTGTGTTGTGAGCCTTGTGCTGTGAGTGTGGCAGCCTTGTGTTGTGAGTGTGGCAGCCTTGTGCTGTGAGAGTGTGGCAGCCTTGTGTTGTGTGTGTGTGGCAGCCTTGTGTGTGTGAGCCTTGTGTTGTGTGTGGCAGCCTTGTGTTGTGAGAGTGTGGTGAGAGTGTGGCAGCCTTGTGCTGTGAGTGTGTGGCAGCCTTGTGTTGTGAGAGTGTGGCAGCCTTGTGTTGTGAGAGTGTGGCAGCCTTGTGTTGTGAGAGTGTGGCAGCCTTGTGTTGTGTGTGTGGCAGCCTTGTGCTGTGAGAGTGTGGCAGCCTTGTGTTGTGAGAGTGTGGCAGCCTTGTGCTGTGAGAGTGTGGCAGCCTTGTGCTGTGAGAGTGTGGCAGCCTTGTGCTGTGAGAGTGTGGCAGCCTTGTGTGAGAGTGAGAGTGTGGCAGCCTTGTGCTGTGAGAGTGTGGCAGCCTTGTGCTGTGAGAGTGTGGCAGCCTTGTGCTGTGAGAGTGTGGCAGCCTTGTGCTGTGAGAGTGTGGCAGCCTTGTGCTGTGAGAGTGTGGCAGCCTTGTGCTGTGAGAGTGTGGCAGCCTTGTGTGAGAGTGTGGCAGCCTTGTGCTGTGAGAGTGTGGCAGCCTTGTGCTGTG